CTGCCTCTGCGCAAGGACGAGTCCTCGTCCTTGGCTGCCGGTGCCACGTGACCACTTCCGCTGATGCAGCTACGTTTTTACATTGTTGCCAACACACCACACCTCCTTCCTTAAGTGTTCAAACATCTGTAGTTTCAAACGCTTAACCGGGTGTGCACCTGTTACTGTAACATCCAATAGCAATAAACATTCGTCTTTTTACATCCTTTAAATCTTAACAACACTTTATACAATTTCAAACCACTAAGAGCAAAACCTTGCGATGCTAGAGACCTGGTGGCAATGGCGCAACCGCTTAAGGTCCTGTGCCGTTAACTGATTACTACATAGGATTTGAAAATGCCAACTTTGTAGTGGCATTGATCAAACCAGTTCCATTACGTAATCCCTCAACCTGCGTGGCAGTCTTTTGTCACGTTGCGGTCTAGATATCAATTTCTTCCCCTTGTCACCAGTTCCCTCTGCATCTTCTGTGTCTACCTTGTCCTCTCGTTTCCTACAACAAATATTTACATTATTTGACCTAACCTTTGCTATGCGAGATATGTCCTTATCACCTATACTATCCGCTATTACAGTCTCATTTGTGTTTGCAACTGTGTTATTACCTGGTGTACAAACATTATTACTTACAACAAGTGTGTCAAACACAGCATTACTCAAGTCATGGCTACGTGCTACTGTACCATTGTTTACATTCACCAATGTTGGTGCGATCTTTATAACCTCCACGCTCGGTGTGGGTGCCGATGTCGGTTCTTGTGGCTTTAATGCAATTTTACTAACTGCATTAGTTATGTCATTCCTGGATTCTGCATCACCTGACTCTCTCTCACCCCAGTCTCTTCTTCCGTTGTTTTGGCGTTTCCATATCTGGTTCACATGTCTCTTCCACGTTTCTCCGCTTTCCAAACAACACAAATATACTGACTTGCCAATTTTCCTATGTATCACAGCCTTGACCCAACTCTTAACATTAACCTTACGATAATCTCTTACCATAACATTGTCGCCTCTGTCAAACTTCCTGTATCTGCCCCCGTAATTCTTCTCTTGCTGCCTTGCTGCTTTTTGCATGTTGTCTACTATTTGTAATTGTTCATTTGACTCCCCGTCTTCCGACAGTATCGTCAGCTTATTTCTTGTTTCCCTGTTGAACATCAGTGAGGCTGGTGTCACTCCCGTCGTCTGGTGTGTCGTCGTTCTATAGTCCATTAAAAATGTTGCTACCAAAGTTGATAGAGATACACTGTTGTTCTTTTCTTCTGCTAGTAACGTCTTCATTTTATTCTTGAATGTTTTTACTGCGTTTTCTGCCAAGCCATTACTTTGGCTGTTTCCGGGCGGGGATGTTATATGTTGTATTCCATTACTCCTTAAAAACTCTTCGAACTTATCGCTCACCAATTGTCTGCCGTTGTCACTAACTAAAACGTTCGGTAAACCATATCTGGCCACCACTTCCCGCATCTTCTCAATCGTTTCTTCTGTCGTCATCGTCTTCATTTCTATGCACTCCAACCATTTGGAGTATGCGTCAATTATAATTAGGAACATCTTGTTTCTTATTGGTCCACAAAAGTCGATGTGGATCCTGTTCCATACTTTTGTTTCTAAAGGCCATGGTGTTAAATGCGCTTTTGGGGGTGCTACTTTGTTGCTTAAACATGGTATGCATGACTTTGCCATATTTTCTATATCTTTATCGATGTTTGGCCACCAAATATAAGATCTTGCCTTGTTTTTCATTTTTACAATGCCAAAATGTCCCACGTGCAATTCTTGCAGTAGTTGTTGTCTTAAGACTTCCGGGATGACTATTCTGAGGCCCCACATGAGTATGCCTCTATCGAAGAATAATTCTTCTCGCCTATGAAAGAAGTGTTTCATTAGTTCATCCATATTCTTATTCCATCTATTATTAACCACACATTCTATCACTGTTTGCAAATAAGCATCATGTTTTGTTGTTTTCCTGATTAATTCGTTATTTATTGGCCAATCACTCTTGTTAGTAGTATAGTTCACATAACTTACTTGTTCATCCTCAGTTTCCTCTGTGCACTTCAAAGGCACCCTTGAAAAGTAGTCAGCTATCATGTTGTTCTTGCCTTTTATGTGTTCTATGGTGTAGTTGAATCCCGACAGATATGCTGCCCAACGTTGCAGTCTGTTTTCATACATCTTGGGAATACCTTTGTGTTCACCAAATAGTGTTATGAGTGGTTTGTGGTCTGTCCGTAATATGAA